AATTTTTCTCAGCCTGATTCAAAGATCTACTGGCAAAAGCAATGGGTCTGTCACCCTTCTCATCCATGTGGGACAAGACTGCTCCTACTCCATCTGGTGAAGCATCACATGTTAATATAAGTCTTTTCCCTGGGTCATAGTGAGTTAGTAAGGTGTCAGCAGACAAAGCCTCTTTTGCTGTATTAAAAGCAGTATCTTGTTGTTTACCCCAGTGCCAAGTTGCATTTTTCTGTAGCAGCTTGTACAGTGGTGATAGTTTACCAGACAGATTTCCTATGAACTTTGCATAGTAATTTATTAAGCCCAAAAAAGCTCTTAGTTGTTGGGTATTTTCAGGTTTGGGTGCTTCTTGAATGGCTTTTGTTTTCTCAGGTTGAGGTCTGATGCCTTGTTTGCTCAATATATAACCAAGAAAACTAATTTCTGTCAACATGAATTGACATTTATCTTTGTTTATCTTTAAACCTTTTTCACCAACAATTTTCAAGACTTTATCTAGTGTTTTAAGATGTTCAGTGTCATTCTTACCAGTTATGTACACATTGTCAAAGTACACACAAACATTTGGAATGTCCTTAAAAATACTGTCCATGACAGCTTGGAAAATTCCAGGGCTAGATGATATGCCAAAACATAGTCTTTCATATTGGTAGAGTCCTTTATGTGTGTTTATTGTCGTATAGACTTTTGAATCTGGATGCAGTTCTAGTTGAGTGTAAGCATGACTAAAGTCTAATTCAGTGAATTTGTCTCCTCCTGCCAAATTCAAAGAGATTTCCTCAATGTTAGGTATAGGGTACCTATTTAGCTCTATTTGCTTATTCAGTGTAGTTTTATAATCTCCACAAATTCTTATAGAACCATCCTTCTTTAACACTGGCACAATGGGCGACGCCCAATCGGAATAGTCTACCTTCTTTATAATGCCATTAGATTCCAATCTACTTAGCTCATTTTCAATTTTATTCCTCATTGCATAAGGTGGAACTCTAGCTTTGCAGTATCTTGGATTTGTGTCTTTAATGCTTAACTTCACTGTTCTATCATTTAGTAATCCAGAGTTACCAAAAACACATTTATTTTCAGATATAACTCTATCTAGTGAAGTAAGACTAGATTCTTTTACATTCTTCAATGAACAAATACTCTCCCAATTTAACTTAAGATCACTTAACCAGTTCCTACCTAGTAATGGTGGTCCATTTCCTTCAACCACAAGAAGAGGAAGTTTAACACTTTGACCATTATAACTTACATGAACCATACACTCTCCTATTACCGGAACATTGTCACCAGTGTATGTTGTTAGACACTTGTGACACGGTTGTAGAGACACTGATCCTCCTGTGACAGCGTCAAAATCTTTCTTTGTTATGACTGTTAGAGATGCTCCAGTGTCAAGTTGGAAGCTGATGCTCTTACCGTTGATATAAACTGGTACATTGATGGGAGCATGACTTATTGATTTCACAGAGAACAGGTTGAAATCCGGCTGCAAATCAGTTTGAGCATTTTCACAGGTAGAGTGGTTCATTGGTTGGGTTAGGTAGTCTTGGTGAGAGTTAACATAGTGCTGCCTTTGGTTGCGGTACTGTCTTGACTGGCTAGATTTAGCAACAGACGAAGACTTTGCAAAGCAGGCCTTGGCAATGTGACCTTGCTTACTGCACTTATAACAAGTTGCAGACTTGAACTTGCACCGATGAGATGCATGGGGACCTTTGCATCGATGACATTTTTGATAATTATTACTAGATTTAGATCTAGGATTTGAACGAGCAGGCTGTTTAGCATAAGTTGGAATGCTCTGATGGGGTTGATGTTTATTGACTAACCTGCTGTTTACTGCATGGATCTCTGAAGGTGCTAAAGATCTCGCCGCATCAGATGACTGCTGGAATGACATTGCAAGTTGTATTGCTTTTTCCAATTTTAGATCTGACTCGAGCAGCAACTTTCTTTGAATATCAGGGCTGTTTACACCTGTCACAAACTTTTCACATAATCTGTCAGACAGCGTTTCTCCAAATTCACAGAATCTACTTAAATGACGTAAAGCAGCAACATATTCTGATATTGACTCGTTTGGTTGACGAGTCCTACTGTCAAATCTAGCTCGACATAGAAACTTTGATGGGGTAGGCGCATGGTGGTCTGTTAGCAATTTGCTCAGCTCGTTAAAGCTCTTGGTAGTTAGACTAGCTGGTGCGCATAAGTCTTTTAGTAGCCTAAATTGTTGAGGCCCTATGACTGTTAACAAAACAGCTCTCTTTTTGGCTTCTATCGTCACGTTGTTAGCTTCTAGGTAAAAGCTTAACCTATCTAGGTAATCCTGAATGATTTCATCATTCGCATCAAATTCTTTTATTTGGCCATACAGCGCCATTATTCTAGAAATACGTAGCTAATAAGCTCTAGCAAACCTCTTTTTTGCGTAAGTAGGTGCTCTTTCTAGTAGATTATCCCATCCTCGTCGCCAGATGAGATAGATTGACGATAGAAGCATGTGGTTGTATATAAAACGTTTATTGGGTCTAACTACATCATGATAACAGCAAGAGGACGGAAGTGACGAGAGACAACTATTTATAAACATGTAAGGGACATCACTCAAGATAACAATATAAATATAATACTAATACAGAAGAGTGAGTTCCCTTGACCTCACAATTATCTCAATCTATTACAGTACTCTAAAAGATGCCCCTACACCAGGGGTCGGCAACCTGCGGCTCGCGAGCCGCATGCGGCTCTTTCGATATCAAGATGCGGCTCTTCAGCTCCATACATAAATATCAATAATTATTTTATTTTCAAAACTCATAAAAATATTGTTCTGCAACACCCGGTAATGAACGATATAATAATAAACAAACAATAATCACTCGCTATTCTATTATAAATATTATATATATATATATATATATATATATATATATATATATATATATATATATATATATATATATAATCCTAATAAAATATAGCATTTCAATAAAAATATTAGTGGCTCTTTAAAAACTGGGAAATTCGGTAAATAATTACGTTTGGCTCTTCCGTCTCAAAAGGTTGCCGACCCCTGCCCTACACTATACTAAATAAATATCACACACATTTTTTACGGAAATATCAATGACTGCCATTTGGACTACCCTTCATTGATGCCCGCTTTTTCTATACAAGTTTTGCCCTACGGACAGTGTAATGCAGAGGCGTAGCGAGGGGAAGGGGGGCGGGGGGGAACATATGTCCCCGGGCGCCGACCTTAGGGGGGGGGGGCGCAAATGAAAAGTTCGATGGGGGGTGCAAATCGAAAGTTTGAGGGGGGGGGGGGTGCAAATGAAAAGTTCGAAAGGGGGGGGGGGGTGCAAATCGAAAGTTTTAGGGGGGGGGTGCAAATCGAAAGTTTGAGGGGGGGGGTGCAAATGAAAAGTTCGAAAGGGGGGGGTGCAAATCGAAAGTTTGAGGGGGGGGGGGTGCAAATCGAAAGTTTGAGGGGGGGGGGGGGGTGCAAATGAAAAGTTCGAGGGGGGGGGGTGTGCAAATGAAAAGTTTGTCCCCGGGCGCCGGGAAGGGTCACTACGCCTCTGGTGTAATGTCAAAACGAGTGACAGACGATTGAGTGTCAATTTTTTTTGGGTGAGATCGGCAAATATATGGAAAGATACGATGACACCATGTCACAACATACCGCTACTTTTTTTTAATTATAAAAAAAAAAATTCCACCCCCCCTGGTGGATGCCGGGACCTGGGCCTCTTCCGCCTCCACCCCTCTGCACGCCACCTCCCTGGATACGCCACTGAGTTAAGTATACTTATGTTGTACAACTACACAAACAAGTAACATCCAGGATCCATACAGCTATTGACCAAGGAGTGGTCCATAAATGACATCACACTCGTAAGGGGGAGGGAGGTCTGTAATTTGCTGTCGGTGTGTGATAATGGGGAGGGGGAATGTCAGATAGTGTGACGTCACACTTTTGCATTATTAAAAAAACGCAATGTTAGAAAACGAGTTTTAGCCGATAATTTGCGTTTTAGAAAACTGTTCTAATAAATTGTAATAGGAATTAATTAAAATATTCTATGTTGACAAAGTTCAAACAAGATTTTGGAAAAAAATATCGATGTTTTAAGAAAAATTCAACTGCATTTTTGAGAGGGGGGGGGGGGGGTGTAGGCTGAGGTGTGACGTCATTTTAGGGGAGGGGTCGGGCTTTTTGTGACGATGTGTGACGGAGTTGAAGGGGGGGGGAGGTAAAAATCGTCACAGAAAGAATGACTTAATTTATGGATGACCCCCAATTTCCAAACCATTTGAAATGCATATAAACAAATACATGTCAACTGCCTAAAAAGCATTACCTTTTCCATACTAATCAATCTAGGTTTAGAAAGTTTCTGATCACAGAGTTTAATAATAATATTGAAAACTGGCTCAGAAGTACTCAAACCTACTTTGTTTCACCTTGTTGATAGGTTTTAAAAAGCCTTTGATTCTACCGTCTCACTATACTTCTAAAAAAAAAAAAACTAATCCCATACACATTTAGCTCCCTTAAACTTACTCTATAAGCTTTTATAACAGTAATAATTTGGATTGTGCACTTTGTGTGCAGTAGTGCCATAGAAGTTTATGGCAAAAACATCCATAATGCAATCATTTTTATAAATTTTATTTTGCTTGTAATTGATAAAAAAATAGTAAAACAAGTGCTTAAAATGTCAAATGTTTCCTTTGTAACTGGAGTCCTAACAAGCAAATGTTGTCTGACACTGACCTAACCTAACTTGCAGGTACAGGCTTTGGATCATCACAAGAGAGTAAAATACACCCCATCATTCAAAACACATTGGCCTCCTTGGAATTTACATACAGAAAAACAATAATAATAAAATTTGACACACACTCTAGCCATTTTATTTCTTAAAATTTTCATGTTACAATTTCTAATGATTCACTACATTAGAATTTACATTACGAGGCTATTTTTTTAATAGTACGGAATACAAAATTAAATAACAACTAGCCAAAAATTACATTATGTTGAAACTAAGATACCAAAATGCAACAATTGCAGCTTTAGTCTTTCTTTTCTTCAAACTTATAATTTTTATGCTGTTTTTGTAAAAAATTAAATGTTAATTTATGACATTGAAATGTGTGGTTAATCTTTAAATTGTATAGCCTAAATCACATAGCATGCAGAGAGGTGTCTGAGCTTTGGCATAAAGTTCATATTGAGAAGGAGTGCAGAAAGATAAAATCTATATATAACATGTAACAAATGCATTTAATTTAATAAAATTAAAAAAAAAACCATTCATCTAGCAAAAGTAAGGCAGTGACCATAAGCCTTAGCAATGGTTGGAGCAACATGAAACTTGGGGTTAGTTCCATAAGACATGTAAATAGTGGGGAGGGGGAGGACGTTTTTACATATGGTCTGTCTGAGTTATACATTGCAGACAATAAAGTTTGATCATATGATTTGAGATTCTATACCTCTCAATATAATTATTAAGTACATTTAGCAAAAGATGAAAAAGTTTTTGCAAAAAAATATTTTGTCTGCTCAGAAGTTGTGATGTCACTATACCTGTTGGCCAGATGCCATTGCCCGATGTCATTGTACTTGTCTAATTTAGGTTGTATTAACTGTTAACCTGATATTCTGTCATGTCGCTGTATGTCTTACTGGGCTGTTTGTGAGTAGTGTAAATGTGTAAAATTATGTTTGAGAATTGTGTTACAGTACTTATATTGTAAATGTAAATAATACATTGAAGTTGAACAGCGTATTTTATTTTAGTTAGCTTTTGTTATTGTTAATGTGTAATTGGTTTGATCAGTATTGGTAAACTCCCTTGTCCCAATGAATGTGCATTGTCAATTTTATAAAATTTGAAAAGAATTGGCAAATTAACTGTGTGGCCTGAACAAAACCATGCGGGTTAAAAATAAAACCCTGGGTTTCTAAAGTGATGGCTTATTTCTTCTTTCATTCATATTTACAAATAACACAAAAAGAAGTAGGATAGATAAAGAAAAAAAATGTACAAACAGCTGACATAATAGAATAAATTTTTTTTTACAGTATGTATAAAAATTGCCGAGGTATACTCTTTGACAAAAGAACCTTTTCATAATACAAAATTAAAAACGTATTAACTATGACCCACAATTGGTTAACCGCTTGTTAAAGTTATGTGCAGACAAAAAAATTAATAAGAAATTTAAAAGTAATAATTTGCTATAGATATTGATTGTTTTTAAGTTAAAAAATGAAATTAAATTGGTTTTAAGTCATGATAATTTTTTTTGACAATATAAAGTAAATTTAAAAGAAAACATTTCCTTACCAACATCACATTCCTCCATCTTACTTATAGAATGAATTTTTTTAGAGTATTTAAATTAGATATTTGAGAAAAGCTTTTGTGAAAAATATCATTTAGACTACGACTTCTAGAAAATCTTTAATGACAAATAGCACATTCATGTAGCTTGTCTCCAGAATGAACTTTTTTATATGACCCATAACGCCCGCTGCCGCCCGCTACACATGATGGCCCGTAACGCCTGCATACAATACGCATAGAAAACTTAAATTTGTTTTATAAAGATTTGGCCTAAAAATCCTAATTTTTATCTAAACAGGATGTTGGATAGTTTCAGCATATTTTGTCCTGTTTACTAATATCAATGGCAATTTTGAAAGATTCATAATATTAGTCTCTTTCCATCCCAAAATTCTAGACGCATTTGTCCCATTTTCAGTTGATTTTAAATTAAAAATCAAATAAAAACAAGCTTAAAAACAAATCTAGGCATGTATTTTACGAATGATATATATTAAACATAAACAAATTGATGTTCAACTGTTAAATTCGATGTATAGTTGTTTCGACAAAAATAAAGTTGACTACCCAAAATGATCTATATTTTAACTATTTTGGAATTTCTCTGACATTTTTTATATTTTTTATTCTGTACTTCAACCAAATATATTATATTCTATTTAATACTGTTAGAAAGCCAGATATAATTTTAACATTAAGCAGAAGTTTGTATCTTAATTATTAGTTTCATTTAAACAAAAAGGAATATTTTGTGAAAGTGTTCACTTGTTCATACAGAGTTATGCTCCTTACATTGGGACATCAAGGGTGGTGTTTTGGTAGAATGAATGAGTCATTAATGGTTAAATAAGAAGTTGAGAACAATTTTTATAGCCAAAAAAAGTTTTTTATGTGTAGTTAAATAACTATTCTGAGTAAATGATTTAGGACAAACATCAAATTCATATGGCCTTTTTCCCAAAAGAACAATATTATCTCTTAATAAATCACATTTCTAAGCAAACCTTATAGGACAAACATCACAATTCATGTGGCCTTTCATCAGAATGAATCTTTTTATGTGTTCTTAAATTAGAAATTTGAGAAAACCTTTTATGACAAACATCACATTCATGTAGCCTTTCTAATGAATGAACTTTGTTATGTCGCAATAGACCATTCTCATCTGCAAAGATTTTATGACAAACATCACAATTATATGCCTTTTCTCCTGAATGAATCTTTTTATGTCTACTTAAATAAGACCTATATTGAAATCTTTGAAGACAAACATTACATTTATATGGCTTATCTCCCGAATGAACATTTTTATGTTGTAATAGACTATTCTTTTCCACAAAGTTTTTATGACAAACATCACATTCATGTGGTCTTTTTCCTGAATGAATCTTTTTATGGTAATTTAAGTTAGAACTTTGAGAAAACCTTTTATGACAAACATCACATTCATATGGCTTATCTCCAGAATGAACATTTTTATGTTTTTTTAAATCAGCATTTCTAGAAAACCTTTTATGACAAACCTCACATTCATATGGCTTATCTCCAGAATGAACATTTTTATGTTTTTTTAAAAGAGAACTTGTAGAAAACCTTTTATGACAAACATCACATTCATGTGGCTTATCTCCAGAATGAACATTTTTATGTTTTTTAAAATCAGAACTTGTAGAAAACTTTTTATGACAAACATAACATTCATGTGTTTTATCTCCTGAATGAATCTTTTTATGTTTTTTTAAATCAGAACTTGTAGAAAACTTTTCATGACAAACATAACATTCATGTGGTTTATCTCCTGAATGAATCTTTTTATGTGTTCTTAAATAAGTTGCAGAAAACTTTTCATGACAAACATAACATTCATGTGGTTTATCTCCTGAATGAATCTTTTTATGATTTTTTAAATGAGAACTTTGATAAAACCTTTTAAGACAAAACTCACACTCCCATGGCTTATCTTCAGAATGAACATTTTTATGCATATTACTTTTAGAACTTTGAGAAAATGTTTCATGATAGTAAACAATTTTATTTTCGTTGTCCCTAGACAATTGTAGATTTTCTTCAAGTCCATTTTCTTGTTTATCCTCAAAAAATAAAAATTCTCTTGTGAACTCTTGTTTTAAATTTTCAGTAGGTAATAATTCTGGTTTTAAATTTTTAGATCTTGAAAATACTGCTGATGCAGCAGGTTTCTTATTAATTTTTTCAATTGAAAATGTAATTTCAGGTTTAACATCTTGAGAAGTATTAAATGAAATGTTAGGTTTTATATCCTGAACATTAAAAAATGATAATTCTGGTTTTATGTCATTAGAAGAAGTAAATTCTGAATTAACATCAGGTTTAACATCTTGAGAAGTTTTAAATGACATGTTAGGTTTTATATCCTGGAAATTAATAAACGCCAATAATTCTGTTTTGATGCCAGCAGAAGAAGAAAAGTCTGGTGTAACATCAGGTTTAACATCTTGAGTGGTTTTAAATGTCATGTCAGGTTTTATATTCTGAGAATGAAAAAATGACAATAATTCTGTTTTGATGCTAGCAGAAGATGGAAATATGGCCGATAGATCTGGTTTCAAATCTTCAGAAGATGAAAACTCTGATAATTCATTTGACTGTACTTCTACAGTAGAAGAAACTGCAGCTAACACATCTGTTTCCACCTCCATGCTGGTTAGCTTCTTAGATATGAACTGATGATTTAAAAAATGGAAATGTTGAACTGGTTATTAAATAACCAAAACAACTTATTACTAATAACATGGCAAAAGTTGTAACACATGCCAGACTTTTGTCAGTCTGATTACTAATGATTACTTAGTCAAATGTAATTTTAAAATAGACAACCAGTAATGCAAAGCAATTAGGACTGCAGATTAATATCTTAAGCTACCAGTTTCTTAAAATTATTTTAAAAAATAGAAATACTAAGATATTAATAATAACAAAAATCAAAACTTGATTTACTTTTGTTAGTTTTTAAATGTAAGTAATAAGTGCTTAATCTTATCCAAATATGTAATAAAATATGTAATTAATTTTAATTACAGTTCTAAACTGTCATAAACAGCTTAATAAACACTTGATTTCTTCAGGTAGCATGGCACTAATTTGCACCTAATGTTTTTTTAGTTTTGTGACAATATTTGTACACAATAGGACTTGTAAAAAAATCTAGGGTAAAAATTTAGCGTAACGAGGAGCGAAAAGCGCAAATGCGGCCTTAACTAATTATTACATTTTTAAAATTATTATAGAGTAGAGCCGAATTTATACAAAAGTAAGACTAATTTTAAACCTTAGCTTAATTTTTTTTTGTCTACACAAAAGGCACACATTATTTTTAAACTCTTAAAACATAAAGCAAATGTAATTTAATGTAGTAAGGTAAAGTAATTTAAATATTCAATATCAAGTCGATCGTAGTTTTAAAAGACAAAATGATGCTCGCGCAAATTTTTTTTAACTAGATATACCTCTAGCTAGCTTTAAAAAAATAAATAAATAAACGCTTAAAATGCCCATAAACAGATTATTAAGCGCCAAAAAAAAGGCAGCTGAATGATCATTATTTAAATTATGCAGCAATGAAAAAGGCTAACGGCCAATCAATTAAGTCTGACAATCACCCGTTATTAGGCCTAGCTCTGAAAAAAAGACCACTGACACACTGAACGAGCATCACTAATTATATAAACAAATAGGCCATGCAGCGTTGACAAGGTTAACCACCAGTCACGAATTAAATTCAATGCAGCTACTGTCGGCCCACAGTGAAGAAAAAAAATCAATCCTAATATATAAAAGGCTGTGTGCGCTCTTCTCTCTCTCTGTCCGCAAAATATTTTCGCCGGACATCACGTCAGAATCGGCAGCGATATATGCATACTTTTATACGGACTTTTGTTGAAAATAATATGTTAGATGTTTTAAATGTATAACCACAATTTTATTTAAAGAAGAAAAATAAAAATTAAAGGCGTATTCGAATGTAGAGAAACAGTATTATTTATGCAACCGGAAAAGCATTAATATATGTGAAAAAGAACGCATAAAACTGTGACGTCACTATTGCTTATACATTAACCAATGACGTCATCTGCCGTGTTTTGAATAAAAAGAAATGAACTATTTCATTCAAATTTGATTTAGATCTACGTACACTATGAAATGTATACAATACAATTTTTTCAGCCTAAACTCATAAAATTTATTTTATGTATTTGGATTCTAGATCTAGAGATTCTAGATCTAGACTAAATCTAAATCTAAATCTACGCAATAACTAGATCTAGACGTAGACGCTAAGATCTAGATTTAGACTCTAACTTCTCTAAAATCAATTCCAAAAATAAATTTCTATATTAGGACTAAACTATTTCAAGACTTATTTATTTTATACAAAATCTTTGTTTGGAACTGGCTAATTTGGGATAAAAAAATTAATTTGAAAGAATAGGCATATTCGCGTAAGTTAAGATTTTAAAATACGTGTTTCATTCTCCGTATTTTATAAGGTGCCTAAATAGCGAAGATGTTAGTGTACATTAAACCACGCAGGTGGTGCGGGTTCGAGACACACCAAGTCAACTTGGTTAATGTATTTTTTTTTATTATGCTCGGGCTAAACTTTAAAAAAAAATTCTTTTAGGAATCTAGATCTAGATTGTCGGGTGTCCGATAGGGCACTTCCCGGCGCCGCAGGCGCTTCAAATTTGGCAGGATCTTGCCTTGGGGCGACAGAACACGGGGGCCGGTTGGCCGAAAAGTCTACGATGAGGGGGTCAAAACTGACCTCGACTGACCGGTACCTTATATGAGCTATAAATCAAAAAAAAATGTCCACGGAGGAACCTCTTCATAACTCTTGAGGTCGTAGACCGACCCTCGGGCGAATTAATTAAGCATGCAAATTCTCAATGTTTTCGAAAGCCTAAGCGAAGCTGGGCAGCATGCCTAGTATACTAATAAAATTACTAATACAATAATAATTTCCACAATTTTACATTTTTCAGCACAAGCTACAATTAAATTATAATTAAAATACTAGACTTAACAGTTCATTCCGCAAAAAACAAAAACTAGATCTAGTTGTTTCTGTGAGGTAACTAGCGTAACAATGAAAAAAATAGCGGACAGAAATGTCTGCATGGGTACCTCATCCTCATATTCGATAAAAAAAAATGTATCAACAGGACTGTAATTAATCATTATTAATATCTCAATTATATATTTCTGCATTTGTACCAGGGGGTTTTGACCATGTACCGGGCCGTTTAAGGCAGCAGTTCAGTTTTTCCCCACAGTACTCGACAAGAATAGCGTGTATTAATAAAGGCCGATTATAGCCGGAATAAGATACGCATGCGATATGCATGCGCAATGGAGAGAAACTACGACTTGCCTTAGCTGCGATGTTTTCGATGGTACTGCGCATGCGTGTGTTTACAACCACAGAACCCTAACACCAACCCTAATCCTATCCTTAACCCCATCCCTAACCCTAACCCTAGCCCTAACCCTATCCTATTCCTACCTTGACTTACTTGACTTAGTCCTCTTTGCTCCTTATGGAGCATAGGGCCTCCACCATTTCCTTCCATTTCTTCCTATCCTCTGCTATTAATTTTGACATCTCCCAAGACATCCCTATTGGCTTCAGTTCTTCAAGAAGACTCCGCCTCCAGGTCTGTCTTGGGCGCCCTCTCTTCCGCTTTCCCTGGGGGTTCCACTCAAGCGCTTGGCGTGTAACATTTGTGTGAGCCTTTCGCAGTGTGTGACCCACCCAGCGCCACTTCCTCCTTCTTATTTGCACACCTATAGGCTCCTGCCTAGCTTTCCTCCATAGTTCCAAGTTCGGCACTTTGTCCTGCCATCTCAGTTTCAGTATCTGTCTAAGGCATCTATTCATGAAGGTCTGTATCTTTGCTGTGCTTGCCTTGGAGACTCTCCATACAGCAGAACTGCCTTGACCTATTCCTACCCCTAACCCTTATTCTAGCCCAAACCCCAGCCATAGCTCACTGCGCATGCGCAGAGCTATCTTTTGCCGACTAAGTGGAGACGTTGGGGAGAAAAATCTTCTTCCGAGTAGACACTTTGATTAATAAAAACCACATATCTCGTGAATTTTTTGGCATTCATTTATTTAGAATCTCACATTAAAATAACGAAGTGTCTACTCGGAATAAGATTTTTCGGCAAAAGATAGTTCTGCGCATGCGCAGTGACCTATGGCTAGGGTTAGGGCTAGAATGAGGGTTAGGGGTAGGATTAGGTATAGGGTTAGGGATAGGATTAGGGCTAGGGTTAGGGATAGGATTAGGGCTAGGGTTAGGGATAGGATTAGGGCTAGGGTTAGGGATAGGATTAGGGTTGGTGTTAGGGTTCTGCGGTTGTAAACACACGCATGCGCAGTACCATCGAAAACATCGCCGCTAAGTCGTAGTTTCTCTCCATTAGGCATGCGTATCTTATTCCGACTAGAATCTGCCTTAAAATAATGATGAGATTGTGCGAGATTAGCAGTTTTTTCATTTGTCGTGTGTAGGACCCCTAAAAAAACGAAAAAACCGAAAAAAAAAAACGACGAGTGACGTTTCAAGGTCAGAGGTCATCCCGCCATCTCAGTAATGAGCTAGACTACCTAATAGTCCTAATTTAATAGAGTATTAATTTTTAATATTCCAGTAGATGTCTAGGTCTAGCTAGACTCTAGAATTAGATCTACTCATTTATATAGGCTACTGGTAATCTGTCGTTTTAGGTAGATTCTACGTAAAATCGGCCAAGGCTAGAATTATAGATCCTAGACTCTAGATCTAGAATTCTAGATCTGTTTTGAAAGCTACGAAAATGTTTCAAAGTTTCATTAATGTACCTGTTTTTAAACAATAATAATAATTGTATTAAAACTTTTCAGTAATAAAAAAAAGACTAGCGATGCAACCAAGCTCATTTAACTTTAGGAGCCATCTTGTTTAAGTTATTTTGGTTACAATCCAGGGGAAACCACTCTAACTTACACATAACCTCTATTTATATAATTTCAATTATTTAGCTATATCAAATCTTGTTCGCAAACACTGCTGTTAAAGTTAATTTCTGGCCTATATTGATATATTTAGCCATTGATTTTGGTTTATTATTCAGTTAACAATAATATTTGACACAACTATATCACAGTATACTTCTTTTAAAGCCTTAACAACGAGGCAACTTTTTCGCACATTACCAGCCTCGGCAATTTTACGCACCTAAAAACGATAAATTAGCTAGATCTATAGACTTCTAGAATATACATTATGGTAAAATCGGTAAAATCTTAGTTTAGCGTCGTAAATTCGCCCAAAACTAGTAATGTGGGAGAGAGTGAACTAATGAATATGTCATTAAATATGAGTATATTTTCGTGGTAATCTATCGTTTTGGGTACGTAAAATCGCCCGCGACTAGTAATGTGAAAAACAGGTGACTCCTTACATTTTAATAATTATTTCACATTTTGAGGAGAATTTATGTTTTAAAAAATTCAAAAATGTTTCCTTGATTCATTTATGTACCTGTTTTTAAACAATTGAATTAAAACTTTTCCGTAATAAATGAAGACTAGCGATGTTTCCAACAGATGCAACCATGCTCATTTACTATAGCAGCCATCTTGTCTAAGTTTTATTTTTATAAGCTTTTAGCGCCAGATTCAGGGGGAAGTCACTCTATTTTACAAATGGCTGCTGTTTATATAGCAAATCTTGCTCTCAGACACTGCTGTTTAAAGTTAATTTCTGGCCTATATCGATATATTTAGCCATTGATTTAGGTTTATTATTCATTTATCTATAATATTTGACACAAAAGTATGACAATATACTTCTATTAAAGCCTTGACAATGAGGTAACGTTTTCGTACATAAATAGCCGCGGGCGATTTTACGTACCCAAAACGATAGATTACCATTTTCGTATATTTTGATAAAGTATTATAGATAATTGAATAACAAATCACCATAGATGTTTAAATCAATTTAAATATCCTGAAATTAATTTTTATCAACCCTGTTCGAGATAGTAAATTTGCTATTAAAAACAGCAGCCATCTTAAGAAAATGTTATTGAGAGTAGCTTCCCTTTCATTTCTATTCATATGAAAATGTATTTAAATATGATCGTCTTGTTGTTTAGTCCATATTACAAAGCATTTTTTTTTAAAAAATGTGAATTTCCTAACAAACAACTTTATTAATTCTAGAAGCATTGTGAGATGCAACTTGTATCCATGTATTAAATCACGTTTTTTTAAAACTAATGTTTATTTGATCTTACTATTACTAAATAGTTGTGAGTTTTTTCTTATTGTTTTAATGTTCACTATTTTCATTTCAGTTTCAGGTTTTTCTTTTCATCAATAATAATTATTAGTAATTATATCGTAACTTATGACATTTTTTTTTACTTCTCTTTACCTTAATTAAACCCCAACCCCCGTCATATTTTTGTCGTCAATGTCACATCAAGTCATAATGTAAAAAATTACGCTTCACTCTGCCTTATCTAAGATCTCTAACCATAATTTTGAAAACATTAAATGTTTGTCATCATTTATATATACAGAGAGACAAAATGTATTATCCACCAGCTTCACTCGTAAAACATCATCTAAAACAATGAGCCAGTCCACCCTGTGGCGTAGGCAGGGGGGGTTAGGGGGGGTCATAACCCCCCCCCCCCCCCATAGACCCCTCTGTATATATAAAAAGTATGAGGAGGGGTGCAAATTGAAAGTTTGAAAGGGGGGGGGGGTGCAAATCGAAAGTTTGTCCCCGGGTAAAAATTGGAACCCCCCCCCCTTGAGACGATCCTGGCTACGCCACTGAGTCCACCCCTTAAGTGCGTGTTGTCATTATGGTCGATCGCAAGTCTCCACCTGCCAGACACATTTTGGTTATCCTTTGTTGTCAAATTGTCAATATCAAGTACCCAAGTGAGTGATATGGGGTTGTCCATAAATGATGTCACATATGATTTGCTACGGGAGTGAGTGAAGATTTGTGACGTCAACTCAGGCGGCTTTGCAATTTATGACGTGTCGGTCTCATGAAAGGAGGTGAACGGGGAAAAATACCCAGATGGTTGACGGAGAACCTCTATAATGCTTTGTTCGATCAAAATAACGATAAATAAGCATTAGTATACGTATACCTTGCTTAAAACGAATCATCACAAATGTTGCAAGCCTGCTAGTTTAAGACATTCGGCAAACCGGCCGCAACACATTATCCCCGTCAAAAAGGCTTGCCACCAAATGCCTGCCGACGAATAAGCCGCGTCTAATGCGGGGCGTTAGGAATACGGCCATTAGCATGGACCGCGTTAGAGCACCAGTAGGCTATCGCGCTTTGTAAGATAACGTAAATACTTAAATTCAATTTCGCTAAACTGCGCGAAAATTTAGTATTGTTCCATCGTTTGAGGAAATTTATTTTCTTGGACTTAAACTTAAATTGAAATATCATGTTGTCTGTCTGGCTCTTAATTTCCGAATATCACTTTTAATGTATCAAGATTCAGAACTATAATTTAATTTAAGTGTCATCTTATCGTTTATTGTGGTTTTTATAAAGCGCAGAGCAGCTTCAAAATCGGACGGCCATCCTGTTTTCACCAAGCTTCTTTTGGAGCTTAATATGGGTAGTCTAGTTCTATACGGTGTGAGCTTAATACATTTTTAAAGGGCCGAAAGTCTCAAGACAGCAAGCTTGCAGAAATAACTACGTACGTTTAAATGGACGAGTGATAGATGTGTTAGGGGCTGTTTAATGAACACCAACTTATGTAATCAAACTAAACGTCGCAAAAGCCTCAAAAAGGCAGTGCTTGTTGTTTTTCTATAAAATTAGCCTAACGGTCGGCGGTACCGCTACATGACGTCACGTGCGAGCGTTAACTCGGTGACGATGTGCTAAGTGGGGGAATGAAAAAGGTAGGGTTCAAGAAATGCGACTCGCCAAGCTTTTTACATTTCTTGACCCTTCTTAATAGTTCTTTCGTCCCCACTGAGAAAATGGATCACCAATGAATGACGCGTCATACTTCTACAGTTGGTCTTTCCCCCACAACCATCCCGTTTTCACGAAAAAAAAAAAACCTGACCCGTCTCCAAAATCACATCGCTGAGTTCTACTCAACCTCTCCCCACCACAAATCACAATTTCTGTTTGAAACAATATGTTCATATGTTTGTTCTGTAATAATGCACGCTGTCATTACTATCTTAAGAGCGACGTCATTTATGAGCGATCTAATATTGATTTGCTTACTGCAAATAAAGTGTTCAAAAGTTCGACCTCCCAACAATTGTTGTGGTCTTGGATGCACACTATTAAGTCTGATAAGGTCTATTAGTCATTCATGTCAACTATATTAAAAAAAAAAGAAAAATTACTATACAGGGGGTCATCCATAAATGATGTTACGCTTTTTTTGACGATTTTTACCCCCCCCCCTCCCCTCAGTCACACGTCGTCACAAAAAGCCAGACCACCCCCCCTAAAATGACGTCACACCTCAGCCTACAACCCCCCCTCAAAATTGCAGTTGAATTTTTTTTAAACAGCTGTATTTTTCCAAAATCTTGTCTGAACTCTGTCAAAATAGAGTATTTTAATCAATTGTTATTACTATGTATTAAAACAGTTTTTTAAAACGCAAAATAACGTCTAAAATTCGTTTTGTAACATTGCTTTTTTAAAATGCAAAAGTGTGACGTGGCACCATCTGAACCCCTCCCCCTCATCACACAACGTCACAAAATTACGGAACCCCCTCCCCCCTACGAGTGTGACGTCATTTATGGACGACCCCCAGGCATATATTTTAAAACAATACAAAACAATCATATTAAACCACAAAATCAACACAAAAGACATACGAATAGACAATTTTTTGTTTTTAAAACATGGCCGCTGCTTGTATTTACTCATTGTTGTCTCGAACGGGGTAGTTTAAAGTTTATTCCAGGATATTTATGACTGGTTTGGTCTTGGATTGTGATTTATTATTCAATTATCTGTTATAAATGTGAAATATGACATAAATATGGCCAAATGAAAGAAATATTCATTAGTTACCTTCATCGCACATTACTAGCTACGTTGGAATTTACGACGCTAAACTAAGATTTTACCGTAAAATCTTAGTTTAGCGTCGTAAATTCCAACTTAGCTAGTAATGTGCGATGAAGGTAACTAATGAATATTTCTTTCATTTGGCCATATTTATGTCATATTTTACATATTATAACAGATAATTGAATAACAAATCACAATCCAAGACCAAACCAGTCATAAATATCCTGGAATAAACTTTAAACTACCCCGTTCGAGACAACAATGAGTAAATACAAGCAGCGGCAATGTTTCAAAAACAATAATAGAGTAGTTTCCCTTGAAAAAATTGTCTATTCGCATGTCTTTTGTTACAAGCTTTTATTTAACTCACTTCCTCGTCATTCTGTCTGTCGTCAGTCTAGACGGAAACGCAGGAGTGAAAATTCGGACAGTTCTACTTGACCGATACGATTCACATTTGGCACGTGGGTCAAGACATGAAGACAATGCAATCTGAAACTAAATTTGACTTAATTGGATGCCTAATTGATTTTTTATGAATTAATTAAAATTTGGACCGAATTAGTAGGCATGTCTAGCCAACCACACCATACGCGTCATCAATAGCTGCGCCATCACGACCACGTAATGGCTGCGTTCAAAAACCATTGCGCGTCTACTGAACGTGATATTCAGTAGGCGCGCAATGGTTTTTAGTCATGTAACTCTATAGTAGATAAAACATGTAAAGTACTGAAAAAAAAATTCATAAAAAACGCTTTAATAACAAGCTTTTATGTAATGATGCACTAAAAAGTAGAAAATAAATTATAGACTACTATTTAAATAACTATAAAGAAAAGCGTGGGTGTCTTCCTTAACATTAGTAAAGGTATCCAATAGATACTAAAGTGACCCACGCTTTTCTTTATAGTTATTTAAATAGTAGTCTATAATTTATTTTCTACTTTTTAGTGCATCATTACATAAAAGCTTGTTATTAAAACGTTTTTTATGAATTTTTGTTGATTTTGTGGTTTAATATGATTGTTTTGTATTGTTTTATATATGCCTGGGGGTCGTCCATAAATGACGTCACACTCGTAGGGGGGGGGGGGGGTCCGTAATTTTGTGACGATGTGTGATGAGGGGAGGGGGGGGGGGGGGTCAGATGTCGCGACGTTTCATTTTTGCATTATAAAAAAGCAATGTTAGGTAACGAATTTTAGACGTTATTTCGCGTTTTAGATAACTGTTTTAATAAATTGTAATTTTTTTTTTAGTTTAGACAAGATTTTGGAAAAATATCGATGTTTTAAAAAAATTCAACTGCAATTTTGAGGGGGGTTGTAGGTTGATGTGTGACGTCATTTTAGGGGGGGGGTCTGGCTTTTTGTGACGACGTGTGACGGAGGGGAGGGGGGGGGGGGTAAAAATCGTCAAAAAAAGCGTGACGTCATTTATGGATGACCCCTTACTTATATTAAGCCTCTTTTTAAGTAATTAGTGATGAAGCCTATTTTTAAAATTAGACTATAGCTGGGGGGGGGGGGGGAGGGAATCATCCATGGATGATGTCACGCTTTTTTGACGATTTTTACCTCCCCCTCCCCTCCGTCACACATTGTCACAAAATAGCCAGACTCCCCCCCCCCCCCTAAAATGACGTAAATAGAGAAAAATCGGACCCTTCAGTGGCGTCGCCCTTGCGAAATTAAAAATTTTTTTTTTTTACAGAACCCTTCCCTAGAGTGGTATAATAAAATCTCCCCAAAGTCTCATGGCTATCGGATGAACGATGCCAAACCAAAATCGACTTTTATTTTTATATACCGTATATTAAAAAAAAACAAATCGCGCCGTGTCGGGGCGCCACCCCTGCGAATTTGAAATATTTTTTTTTTCGCAGAAACCTCGCCAGGAATATTCTCAACAACTTCCTAAAGTTTCATGACGATCGTGTGAACAGTGTCACGGCAATTCACTTTTATTATTTTTGGTGGGAAACTGGGCAGATGAAGTAGAGTTTGGTAGGTGTATAGTTTACTTGTGACGTCAGCATATGAAGAGATAGTGTGGTCAGACCAATGATCAGCCGAAATCTATGTTTTCAAAGACAAAATTACGTCTGAGTTAGGGGGACACTGGGCAGGTGAAGGAGACCGCGAGTGAAATTCTCTTTATATGAGCTATATTTTGAAAAAAACTTTTGCTCAACGGCCCCCTTGATATTTTGTCAGGTGGTAGATGAACGCCTAGGGGTGTCAGAAAAAACTCACCATATCCGGGAAAAATCTGGAAACGGGTCAAAACTAACCGGTCGTATTTCCCTATATGATCTAAGTGTTTTGTGTGAAAAATGGGGTAATTTCAACACAAATTTTAGGGTACTTAACCTCTGTATATCTGTCTAATTTTTTGCATGTATCTCTATAGATGACTAGACCGTATGGAAAAACTGTTGGTCAAACTCAAAGCTCTCAACGAGGGCAATAAAATGACCGCGAGCGAAATTCTCCTTATATGAGATATATATAAATAAATTGACGAACGATCTCTCTAATATTTTGTGAGGTCGTAGACCGACCCCGGAGGATAACAAAAAACATTCCCGTCGAAAAAAATCCCTTAGGGTAGTTAAATTTTTCCAGATGACGTATTTCCTTATAATTGTTTGTTAAAACGTTATTTGTTCAATTTCAAGGGAGTTAATTTTTTAAAAATCATTATTTTTAAAACAATTGTATTTGTATACTCTTTTAAACATAAACAGAAAATGACGAAGTATAGCATTTGCTTCAGTAAAAAAATTAAGTTGTTAATTAAGGTGCGTATCCTAATTAAATAAATAAATAAATTTTAAAAGTCAATGTAATATAAATTATACTGTTCATGGAACCTCTGTAGATAATTCCATTTTAGTCATACATTGCGAACTTTCCAATATTTTCTCTGTAAACGGACTTTAAACAACACACAACATCATTTTCTCTAAAATTAGCATTACTGTTTAAATTTAAACACTCCACACCTCAGCCATCACTAAATAATTAAGTATTCAAATTCTCAAATGTTTTTGAAAACCTAAGCGAAGCTAGGCAGTATGCCTAGTATATCTATATATTGGAAAGAACTTTCTGTTGGGGCCCCATGTGTCTTGGAGCTTGAAGGAAAAACAAGATAATTAAAAAGTCTAGTGACAATTTTAGCGCAATTCCCTTATGTTATCTAAAAATAGCTCTGTCCAAGCGTAAATCAAGAGCAGGGTTAGTAAAACCATTGGTTAGTTATTAAAACGTTTTTTATTAAATTTTTTTTCAGTATTTTAGATGTTTTATTTACAATAGAGTTACATGACTAAAAACCATTGCGCGCCTAGCTACCGAACGTGATGTCGCAGCCATTGAACGTGATTGCGCAGCTATTGAACGTGATGATGCGTGTGGTGTGGTTGGATAAAAATGCCTACTAATTCGGTCCAAATTTTAATAAATTAAAAAAAAAAATTTGTGACCGAACGAAAGGATATTTTTGAAAACTTTCTTCGGCAATATTGATTTAAATTATGGCAGGAATCGATTGGTACATGTTTCAAGTCGCTAAGTGGTCTGGTTGCCGAGATATGGGCAAAAAACTGCATTTTTTCGAGGTTTTTTTGGCTTTTCCGGGAAATCCATGAAAGAAACCCGGAATTTTTTAGGCCTATGTTCATCCTCGTAACTTGCTTAACATAATTGCTTTGGAACTAGTCCTCGATATTGCTTCGTTGAGGAGGAGATACGACTTAAAGCTGCGGACACACATCCATTAATTCATTCATATATCCAGAAATGACGGGTTAATAAACGCAATTCTCCAGAATGGAAATTGCGCTAAAAACAATTTGATGTTTTCAATTTATACTTTTCTCGTATATGAGATATAGAGGAAGTATTGTAATATATATATATATATATATATATATATATATATATATATATATATATATATATATATATATATATATATTATATATTATATATATTATATATATAGACCTATATGAATATGTATGAGTTATAATGCGAATTAATAAAAGGTAATAGATCTACATATTTTTATTTTTAATTGGCAGAAGAGTAGGCCTACTGAAGAGTAGTTTTTAAAAGTTTTGTTATCATCAAGCAACAAGACAGATCTAAACTTCACAACCAACTAGAATTGCAAGGCGTGACAGCGATCACATTCTTTGTGAAGTATTGTTTTTACAAGCTTTTATTTTACTTACTTCCTCTGTCTGTCGACATTCTTATTCTATCTGTCGTCAGTCTGTCGTTATTCTTTAATATTCACTTCAGGTCTGTCTAGAAAAAAAAATTCGGGTAGGCCTACGGCCTACTTTTAGTATTATTAGTGGTTTTTTTTTTTGTCTCATCAAACTATTCCACTCTATTATAATTATACACGCATTATCACGTTCACAAAGGTACACAAATGTTTTTTAGTCATGCAATTCTTTTGTAAATTTAGAACATTTTAAGTACTGAAAAAAAAATCATAAAAATGTTTTAATAACAAACTAACTTAGAGGCAGTTAGAGGGAATATTTACAATTACAACTATGTCCGATAATGGAATCTTTAAAAAATTTTACTAGATCTAGTAGCTAACTAAATAGACACATGGCTGGCTAATGTCAATGCTAACTCTATCCCTAACCCCAACCCTGGTCCTACCATACGCCTAACCCTAATTTCTAACCATAAAATTAGTCGAGATTGCAATACTATTACTATTAACAACCCACACCACTTATTTTATGGAAAAGTCTATTACCGGACACCCGTATTCATTATCTATAATCATCCCAAGCTATATGTAATAATGCACTTAAAAGTAGAAAATAAATTAGGGCCCAATGCACTACTATTAATATAACTATAAAGAAAAGCCTGGGCCACTTGGCCTATATACTTTATTTTTACTTAATTATCTTTATTTACTAATATTTAGGAATAGACCCACGCTTTATTACATAAAAAATTGTTATTAAAACGTTTTTTATGAATTTTTTTTGGAGTGAATAAGTATTTTTGAATTCTATATAAAGCATTCTAAAAATAGGGGAAATCTCATGATATTTGATATAGAGTCAGAAATTATCGGGTAAGTAATGTTTGTTGAGCTTCATTAACATTCGTTACTCTGCAACTGGCAACTACTAACATAATTTATTTGACCATTGAAATAAAAATAAAGTCAAGTACATTAAATTAATGTTTTAACTAACTTTAAAGTTTAATTGACAGAAAATTAGCAACAATTAGGAGATCTAAATATTAATAATAAGGTATTTTAAGAAGCACAGACAAAAACTTGCAGAAGAAATGCGATAACTAGGTCTTGGTCTAGTCTAGTAAAAAAGAATATTAGATTTAGGGCCTACTAAAAGTAGTAAGAAGAACTAGAACAATGTTTGGTAGCTGCAATGATTAACAGATACACTTAGAGTAATTAGAAATACATAATAATTAGGCCTAGCAAAACAGTAGGCTATTTAAAATGTAACTAAAATCACTATATGCACATTTAAAAAATTATGTATTAAAAATAATATGGCACCAAAAAAAATGTTTACAGAATGGTGTGACAGACTACGCCAAGGTTTTACTGTTTTTTACTGCTGTACAATTCCGGAATAATAACAGACGCTATATCATACCAAAACAGGTATCGGGAATATTATTCAACACCCCATACATATCTAACTAATAAACTCATACAATAATATACAAATTTAGGCCCATTAATACATAATCTACTACTTAAGGCCTATAAATTAATACAATAGGATATTATCATTATGTTTGAAATTAAGATATATTTTGACCTGGGTAAGTTAATGAAGCAGTGTTTATTTCCTTTCAAATTTGCTGTCTTCTGATTGAAAATGCTTAATATTTCATTTGCAAGCACATTGGGCGTGGTAGTGGTAGAGTCAACAATGCGGCAGCTAATATTCATAGCCCTGGAGCTTTGAGTTCGAACCCTGGGTTTGCACGACCGGAAAAAATCGTCACTTGTTTGTTTGCACCCTGGTTGGTGAGTTCAAGAGGCCTATACTATAGTATAAGTATAGTCATAGAATTGAAACAAGTCATATTTGTGATTGTCGATGTCATCCCTCCACCCCCCTTCCCCCACCCCATTCAAGCAAATTTAAAAACAGACCTACTTCTGGTCATTATTTTTTGTAAGTTCACATACATAGGCTTATAAAATTAGATCTATTATCACACATGATAGATAGCTCTAAAGATCTAGCTAAATCTAGGACTATCATCTGACCTACTACTGCCACTGTACTGTCGGTCTACAAGTACTAGATCAGATTGACCAAGATTCTATTCTTTTTTGTATTATTAACCTGTGCCTACATTGGTTTTAAAATAAAACATTTAAAGTTAATGTCAATATTGAATTACTAAGACAAAAAAATCGAGCCGTCATGATATCTATTTTTAGACTGCGTTCAACCTAGGAAATAGATTTAGTGGGCCACATCTCATTCATTGCAAATTTAGCCTACTGTTTTCAGTGTCATGATTGTGTTATTTGTTTTTGTTATTAATGCAAATGGCATTAGTATTATTTTTTAATTCATTAGATCTAACTTCGGGTTAGGCTTAGGGGCTAGGCCTTTATGCTTAAGGGTAAGGGATAGTCTAAGAAACTAAGGAAAGGAAAGCATTAAGATCAGTTTATTTCTTCTTAAACAGAAGAGGATAAAATTTATCCTCGTGTGAGATGGTCTAAGCATGCTGTATATTTCCTCTATCACAGAGACGTAGGAATGGAGGCCAGGGGTGCAGACTGCACCAGGTGACACCATTTAAGGGGGGGGGGTGTGACACCAATGCCAAATAAACCAGGAGTGATCTCCCCTAAACTTTTGCAAATATTCATATACAACACTACGGGGGATGGCAACTTAAACTTTTAAAACAGATTTGCCCACCAAGTAAACACCTAACAATGTGTGTATAATAGTGCTGAATCAGAGGCGTATCCAGGTTTTCGTTGTAGGGGGAGCGATTAGAGCAAAAAAAGGCGCCGAATTTCTATATACGTGTATTATATATATATATATATATATATATATATATATATATATATATATGTATATATAATTACTAGATGTATGTCATTACTTCGCTATGATGAGGAGGGGGGTTGTAACTGTAATCGTAATCACTATCGCCCAAACTGTAAGAATACTACTACTTCATCGTGATGACGTTGTTGACCTTGTCAAAATGTCCCCACCACTACGCAGTTTGCTCATAAGTGAATTTAAATAGAGATGCCACATCAGTTGTATTTGTTTCTGTTTTGTAATTTAAAAAAAATTAATAACACGATTCAAACTGTATATATAAAGTAATTATGTGTGAAGTTTTATGTTATAACATTTTCTAATTCAATTATTCGTAAGCAAATACATTATACAGCTGCCTTAAACTTAACACCCCTCTTGCCAAGTGGTACTACCGTAAATGTTTTTTAAACATTGCAATGCATCGTAAAGATTATTTTTAGAATCGCAAACTGGTGCAGCTGTTAATATGTGTTGTAAATGTAGACACTACTAGACTAGTACAATGATGCTTAATTGCTGCATGAAAAGAAATCTTGTGATTTACATAGATGTGCCGACCAAAAATATTTTTTAACAAATATCATTGTTTAAAACTTTGAGTTTAAAAAGTTTCCAAAAAGGCGCCACTTTGCTGAAAATGGCCAGAGGAGGAGCGGCCTCTCCCCCTGCTCCCCCCTGCGTACACTACTGTGCTGAATATTATTAGTACTTTATAAATTCACATGTGTTTTTTTAGAAATCGGAAATAGCCTAAATTACTACTTTTGGTCAACGGAAATTACTCAAAATTTGACAGTAGGGACAGTAGGGAGAGAATTGGTTGGATCCTTTACTTATTTGTTAAATTTCATCAATCTATCTGAAATAGTACTCAAGTTATAGGCTATATAAAGTTGAAAAAGTTCCACTTCCATTTACCGGAAATCGCTGAAAAGTTGATATAGATCTACAAATTTGATATCATACTTGTATATGAAATTTCATCAACCTAGCTATAAAGGTACTCTAGTTATTGTGTTCACAGTGACCTAAAATAGATAAAATAAATAAAAATTAATAAACATTGTAGCTCTGTTGGGCTTTTAATTAAAACGTAAAACCTGATTTATAAGCATGTTATAGCAGTAGTACAAATTATAAAAATGTCTACTTATTTTTATTAAATTCAGACCAATTTTTATTACAGAAGGATAAATACTTAGTTACAGCAGGCTTTGTTTAGTGACTGCTGCACATTTTATAGTATCTGTAAAAACTGAATGAAAAAGCCCGAAAGGAGATCATTTATTATAAGGCATCTACAAACTCCAATCTACTGTAGCTACTAGGCCTATACAAACATTTAAAAATTTGAAAACAATTCGAATTAACATTTAAAATATTTTATCCTCAGTTCATTTATAAGAAGCAGGGCAGCATGGGAGAGGCAACATGTGATTTAGATATACAGTCAGATGAATTAACAGAATTTTCATATTCTGAAGATGTGAAGCCAGAGCTATCTACATTATTTTCATCTTCTACTGACATAAAAACAGAAGTATCAACATTTTTGACTTTCCATGATATTAAACCAGACATGACATTTATAACTTCACATAATTTTAAAACCGATGTTACACCAGGGATTTTATCTAGTAGAGAAACAAAAACAGAATATACATTTTCATCTTTTGATGATGTAAAACACAATATGACATTAATAACTTCTCAAGATGTAACAACAGGATTTTTAGTTAATAAAGATATGGAACCTGCTGTATGTACAGGATCGGAAGATATAAAATCAACTTTAGCAACTTTATCGACTAGCGAATATATAAAATCAGAATTAGCAATGTTACCAACTAGCGAAGATATAAAATCAGAATTAGCAACATTATCAACTAGCGAAGATATGAAATCAGAATTAGCAACATTATCAACTAGCGAAGATATAAAATCAGAATTAGCAACCTTATCAAGAAGTGACGATATAAAACCAGATTTATGGACAAAATTTATAGATTTTGAGGACAAACAACAAAAAGGACTAGAAGAAAAGCTAAAACTTCCTGAAGATAATACATTTGTTTCTGTTGATCATCATGAACATTTTTTTCAAAGATCTAACTTGAATAAACATAAACAAGCTCAAGTAGGGGAGATGCCTCTTGAACTTGAATGTGATGATTGTCATAAAAGGTTTTCAAACATTTCTAGTTTAAGTGAACATAAGAAAGTCCATTTAATGGTTAAGCCTTATGAATGTGATGATTGTCATAAAAGGTTTTCAAACATTTCTAGTTTAAGTGAACATAAGAAAGTCCATTTAATGGTTAAGCCTTATGAATGTGATGATTGTCATAAAAGGTTTTCAAACATTTCTAGTTTAAGTGAACATAAGAAAGTCCATTTAATGGTTAAGCCTTATGAATGTGATGATTGTCATAAAAGGTTTTCAAACATTTCTAGTTTAAGTAAACATAAGAAAGTCCATTTAATGGTTAAGCCATATGAATGTGATGTTTGTCATAAAAAGTTTGCATACAGTTCTAGTTTAAGTAAACATAAGAAAGTCCATTTAATGGTTAAGCCTTATGAATGTGATGTTTGTCATAAAAAGTTTGCATACAATTCTTATCTAAGCGAACACAAAAAAATTCATTTAATGGTTAAGCCTTATGAATGTAATGTTTGTCACAAAAAGTTTTCACGCAATTCTTTTCTAAGCATGCACATAAAAGTTCATTTAGGGGTTAAGCCTTATGAATGTGATGTTTGTCATAAAAAGTTTGCATACAATTCTTATCTAAGCGAACACAAAAATATTCATTTAATGGTTAAGCCTTATGAGTGTGATGTTTGTCACAAAAAGTTTTCAAGCATTTCTAGTTTAGGAAACCATAAAAAAATTCATTTCATGGTAAAGCCTTATGAATGTGAACTATGTCATAAAAAGTTTTCACACAGTTCTACTCTAAGAATACACATAAAAATTCATTTAGGGGTTAAGCCTTATGAATGTGATGTTTGTCATAAAAGGTTTTTAAACTCTACTGATTTTAATGGACACAAAAGAATTCATTCAGCAGATAATCCATATGAATGTGATGTTTGTCATAAAAAGTTTTCAGGCCGTTCTGCCCTAAGCAGGCACAAAAAAACTCATTTAGTTGTTAAGCCCTATGAGTGTGATGTTTGTCATAAAATGTTTTCAGACTGTTCTAATTTTATTAGACACAAAAGAATTCATTCAGCAGATAATCCATATGAATGTGATCTATGTCATAAAAAGTTTTCAATTAGTTCTTGTTTAAAGAACCATAAAAAAGTTCATTTTGTAGATTAGTCACATGATTGTGAATGGTTGTCATAAAAGATTTTTAAACAGTTTCTAATTGTCATAGACACAAAAGAATTCATTCAGCAGGTAATTCATATGAATGTGAAAGTTTTCATACAGTTCTACTCTAATCAAACACAAAAAAAAATCATTTAGTGGTTAAGCCTCATGAATATGATTTTTGTCAGAAAGGATTTTCAATTAGTTCTAGTTTAATTAGGCACAAACAAAAATAATATAATATAAATATGATGTTAGTTATGAAAACTTTACCCACAGTAGTGTATGATAATATTTTTTAAATTGTTGAAGCACCAATAGAATAGACATTCTAATCGTCAATTCATTCATTATTTGTATATATTAATTTTAGGATAGCATGTATTAATTCTACTTGTAGGACACTTGTATATATTTTCGTATTTTATATGCAAATACAGCTAAATTGATGTTTATTGCATACATTTAAATGAATATAAAAGATAATAGCAGACTATTATTAATAAGTTATAATAGTAAAATAATCTAATTTAGACCATCCTTGTGGCTGAACATCTATAGTTGATCTTTTCATTGGTCTCAGTCTGAGAAGTGTAAGTTGGGTCATTCCCTAAAACAACTATCAGTTTCTAATGCTTGACACTATTCCACTTTCTTTTCTATTTGTAAACAGTAACACCACACACAAGTTATCAATTAAAAGGCAATAAACATAAAGCTGTAATGGTTATGTTCTGATATTTTGGTATCCTATTTCTAGCATGATTTATGTATTGTTGTGTTTACTTTTTTTTAACACATAAATGAAAATCTTGCTGTAGTCAAAAGCTATGGGAATAATAAAAAAATAAAAATTTCTTACTAAATGTATTTTTTTTTTATTATAGTATTTTACTTTTACTAATAATGTCTATTAAAAATTCCTCTAAGACCAATGTGTGTTGTATCCTGGGGTTTACTTGACCCTCATCTGATGATTTAATGCCTTAACATGACAGGTTGTTGAGGTCAGTGTCAGACAACAAAGGCTTGCTTGTCATGTGATGTTAACATTTGACTTTTCTGTTCAAATATTTTTCAGTAAAAACTTTTTATTCAAATGCAAAAAGAAATGTAAAGTGTCTTTCTAATCATGGGTACTGTAAACCATTTGTATTAACTTATATGAATATATTTAATAGCACACATAACACCACATCGTCTTACCCTACATTTAAAACAACTGTTGAAAATATGCAGATATAATAACAGAAAAATTAAATCTTTTTAATTTTCTCATAACTTTTTCCTCAATTTATGGTTAACTAGAACGTTACAGGAGAGGGTTCTGCAAAAACAAATCTTTTTATAGATTCTCACGGGCAGCGACCAGGGATGGTGCAATGTTCTCTATTTTACTGTATATAAAAAAGGAGGATGCGGTTCGACACGGTTCATGCGAGTACCATGAAACTTTGGTGAGTAAATCAGAATACTCCTGGTGAGGTTTCTGCAGAATTCGCAGGGATGACGCCCCGAACGGTGCGATTTTCCTCAAAACAAAATTCTTAAATTTGCGAAATGATTGCACATCACATGCTGTGTTAAATGAAAAACTGTTCTCACAATTTTGGTATAGTATGCACCATCCATACCCAAACGTGACATTGATTGCCTTTAGAGTTTTAGTTCCTTTTGTCTCTACATATCTTTGCAAGAATAGATTTTCAACACTTCCTCAACTAAAAACAAAACAATGAAATAAAGTAAATGTTGAGAAGGACATGAGGTTGGCGTTAACAAAAACGCAATCGCGAATTTCGAGACGAGTTATTAGAATGCAATTTTATCGTATTAAAACAGTTATTAAGAATAATTCATATTGAAAGTCTACTTAAATTATTATTTTAGTTATTTTAGTGCATATTCATTTCCTACTAATTTCGACTTTTTTGGAGGTCGCGGGTCACTTACTTTTTATAAAAGGGTGTCGCCAATCGAAAAAGTTTGGGAACCACTGTATTAGAGCGATCAACAATAAAATAATCAGTTTTTTTGTCCCACTTGTAAAATTTACATTTTCGAAGTTAGACGGTTTGCGACCGAGACCATCGATATGTATATATATATATATATATATATATATATATATATATATATATATATATATATATATATATATATATATATATATATATATATATATATATATATATATATATATATACTAGCCGTCCCGGCCAGGCCCTGCTCTGGCTTCTGTGAAAAACCTTTCTGTTAAAGACCATTACCTGTGTGTTTAGTAATCATCATAAACCCGGCATTGCCCACCCAAACCACAACCAACCAAAACACCAAAACGCAAACATAACGCTAACACAATTACAAAAGAAAACAAAAACCTAACAAACACAACCACAACCACAAACACCAATACAAACACAAAGAAAAAACAAACAAAAAAGCAAACGAAAACAAAAACCTAACAACAAACCCAACCACAAACACCAATACCAACAAAAAAAAACGAAAAAGCAAACGAAAACAAACCAAATCCAAACGCAAAACCAACCAAAAACACAAATACAAACCCAAACAAAAAAACACAAACAAAAACGAAAAAAGAAAGAACAAAAACGAACCAAATCAAAACGCAACCACTAACGCAAACCCACCTAAACACAAAGAAAACACTAACGCGATCATAAACGCCCGGGGCGGAATCACCTGTTTTAGCTTAATGAACGACTATAGTACCCCAACTTATTCACAGTCTTTTGCACTCACTTAAACGAACGCGCCTGTTTCAATTTAATGAACAAATTTAATACTCCAAGCTTATCCGTAAAATACCTACAACATTTGCACTTGATCAATCCCCGCTAATTATGTAATTATTTTTTTTTCCCAACCCCAAAACAAAGTAATAAAAAGTAAATTATTTTCCACGAATGCAATGGTTTTATAAAGGGAAGTAATTGTTTTCCTAATTTATCAAAGGGAAGTAAGTGCTATAGGACTAAATAAAGACATAATTAGAATTTTTGTAAAAGATGATATTTTTTTAAAACTTGCGTTGAATGAACATGCCGACAATTATTACTATAATTTGAAAAATGAAAATTATTTCCCAACACTTTCAATAGTAATTTTTTAACTCATAAATTTAGAGAAATGCGCACGATAATATTATAACACTTTAATCCATCCAAGACCAACGACAAACATATGCATTACAGAATTGAGCTTTATATATATATATATATATATATATATATATATATATATATATATATATATATATATATATATAGGGCCCCTGGGGAGCAAAGGGCTGCAACTACACATTTCCAGTGGACTCGGTTTAGGGCTGCTCCCTTAATCTGTGCCCATGTGAACACAACTGTCTTGGCCTCTTCCTCAACCGTTCTTTTCCATGTTTTCTTTGGCCGGCCTACTTTCCCTTTTCCCCGTGCATTCCAGTCCATAGCATTTTTTGCAATATTTTCTTTTCTCTTCTTAACGTTTGTCCGATCTAGAGTTTCTTCCAGGCATCTCTTCGAACGAAATTAAATTTATATAGAAAATATATACTTTTAACAGTGTCCGCTCCCCCCCCCCCCACCCCCGAACGAAGATAGTCTACCGCCCACACCCCCCCCCCCGAAAATTTCAAGTGCCCCCCCCCCCCCCCAGGAGAAAAAAGTCATGAAGAAACACTGGGCCGATCCATCACCATTTATGGGCCTGGATGTCCTTTTCTGTTTGCTGTTGCTTTAAAATTTGCCACAGGTCTTTGTTTGATATTTTGTCTGGTCATCTTATTTTAATTATATGTTGTAAGCATTTGTTTGTGAACGACTGTAGCCTCTCGGTATTTGCCTTTGTAACCCTCCAAGTCTCCGGGCCATAGAGCAATACTGCCTTGACATTTGTGTTGAAAATCACAATTTTGCTCAGAATGACAGGGCCGTGCACCTCCACATCGGGCGCAGTGAGTTGAAGGCACATCTAACCTTGTTGGTACGGCATTTTATGTCCTCGTCTGCTCCCCTGTCCTTATTGATCACGCTTCCCAGATATGTGAATATGTTTGTTTCTCGTAAATCTTCTCCATTTAGCTGTATGGGCAGGTCCTGGTTGTTATTGATTCTGATGACCTGTTTTATTTTTTATTGATTTTTAGTCCTACTTTGGAGGCTTCTTCCGATAGCCGATTCAGTTTGGCTTGTGTATGTGTAAGCCCTGCTAGGGGGGATACCTAAAATCTATCTACCCTTCCCTAGGCTTATCTATTACCGTCCGGTCAGTGCAAGCCCGGCTAAAGCCAGACTGGTTAATAACCTAACCTTAGTCTAAATTAAAAACAAAAAACTTTTAACAATTTAATAAAATTTATTTCATGGAACCAATCAAAATATAAAAAATAAAAAATAAAAACTACTGAATACACAAAACCCGACTAAAGAAACTCAACGGGACAAAAAAAATATACAAAACAATTTAACGTAACAAAACATTACGTTCGACTATTTGATGGTGCTGCACCGACTTATGATGTCTAGGATGGTCCAGGCCCTGACACACAGAAACCTCCCTTCATCCATTCTCGACATCCAAAAGTCCACACCAAACAAAACACTACGTAAAACCACTACGTACAATACGTTACGTACAATACATTACGTAGAAAACAATACGTACACAACAAACCTTTTACACCAAACAAAACACCCAGCCAAGTCGCACAAGCAACCTCACTCCAACGCACGAAGCGCGACCACAGAAGCTGACCTGACCTACATTCTGGCGGTCAAAAAAGAAAGAAAATGTCCGAGTGGTCAGTTTATATACTGACCGCTACGGGCGGAAGGGGGACCCCGTGGCCGCTCCCCATTGGATCATCCACTCGCAGATTCGCACCAAATAAAATGATACAAAATAAATAATCCATTCACCCGCTCACATATGTTGATGCTTGTGAGATAGTAGGCAGATGTCATCGAGCAAAATCAAGATCTTCCAGTCTTTTAGTGAAACTCCACTGGATTCCTGTGTCGTTTTTGTGGTTTTCAGCATGATCCAGTTGATTACCATCAAGAATATCATTGGCGATAGCATACATCCCTGTCTTACTCCCTTCGTCACCGTGAGTGGTTTTGTTAGTTTTCCTTTGTGTATTACCTGGCTGGTGGAGTCTTCTTATAGTTTCTGTGTGATAGATATACATTTTTTTGGGTATTCCATAGTGGCTCATTAGCTTCAAGATAACATCTTTATTCCCACTGTCAAACGCCTATGCGGAGTCGACAAAATTCATGTATAGGGGGAATTGCCACTCGAGGGACTGTTCAATAATGATGCACAGTGTGGCAATGTGGTCAGTACACGACCTGTCTTGACGAAAACCAGCTTTTTCTGGTCTCATCTTTTGTCCAAAGCATCTCTAAGTCTCTCTAGGATGATTCATGTCAGCACCTTACTTTGGAGTGAAAGAAACATTATCCCTCTCCAGTTGTAGCATTGTGTCAGGTCTCCCTTCTTTGACGGTTTTATCAGGTAGCCCAGTTTCCAGTCAGATGGGATTATCTCATCTTCTAAAATCTGCTTAAGTAGAGGATGTAATATGTCTGCTGATATGGCTGGGTCTGCTTTGAGTGCCTCTGGTGGGATGCCGTCCGGGCCAGCTGCTTTGCCATTTTGCATGTTCTTTATTGCTCTTATTATTTCTAACTTTGTGGGTGGATCTGTACACACATTTAGTGGGTGATTTGCAGGTGGTATATCGGGGAAGTTTGATGAGAGAGGATGGTTTGACATCTTATCAAAGTGCTGTACCCATCTGTTTCTC